TAGACTGACGCACCTTAAGAAGGAAAACAACGCACCTTAAAAAGGAAACAACGCACCTTAAGAAGGAAAACCACGCACCTAAAACTTTATGCCGACGCACCTTAAGTTTCAACAACTGACACACCTTAAGTACACAAATCATGCACCTTAAGAAGGAAAACCATGCACCTTAAGGAGAAAAATCATGAACCTAAATCTTTAGACTGACGCACTTAAATTTTTAACAACTAACGCACCTTAAGCACACAGCACAAAAACAACGACTCACCTTAAGCACAAAAACGACATATCTTAAGAAGGAAAACCACGTACCTTAAATTTGACGCAGATGCAAAAATTATCAAATTGCCACCACATTTGTTTTTAATTTTGTTAATCTTGGACGTTGATCTTCACAAGATCAAGGCCCTCATCTCACCCAACAACTGCACGGGAACACACACAACCGCACGGGAACACACACATATATATATATATATTACTTTTTTTTTCCAGGGAGGAGACTTATGCGAGCATGCATGAAGCTAAACGAAATCAGTCAGTGGCGCATGGCGCGGGTCAGAGGATTCAAACCTCTGCCATCTCCTTTATTTGCTCCATATAGAGAAAGAGGAAAAGGTGGGGAAAAGAAATGTCTGCCTGCCTCTACATTATAACAACACACAAACCCTACAGTCTTACGTGTGTTTTGGTGCATGCCTAGACATTTCAAATTATTGCTGAATTAAAAAAAGGTTAATAGTTTTGTTTCATTTAATGACAACTGTGAAATGTAAGGTTAAATTCTTATTAAAAACAGATATAGTAATTGGTACGAGTCTTTTTATAACATCTCTTGTAATTTGTCATTCATCTCTCGAAAATTTATATAATAATGAATATTTAGAACTTTAGACATTGGAGTGTTTTGCAAACGGCCGATAGCTGATTGGTTTAACTAATAGTTGATGATTGATTCCGTTAGCTGGTTTGACGAATTGGTTGTATTAGTTAGTTAGAAAAATTGTTTGGTAAATTAGCTGTTTACTAGTAGCTGATTGAATTTAAAATGACATTTAAGGGTATGAGTATATTGTATTATTTTAACCTTTAAATATAACAAGATGATACATACACTCTTATTGATAAATAATTATAAAATTTAGGCATTATCTATACTTTTTTAAGGACATAAGTTAATTGTTTTTGTTTATTTAACTCTTATATTAAATTATATTCTAAAACAATTTTTATTAATTATTTTCAATTTTAATAATTTAAAATGATTTACTATAATAATAATAATAATAATAATAATAATAATAATTATTATTATTATTATTATTATTATTATTATTATTATTATTATTATTATTATTATTATTATTATATTGTCAAATGTTGAAGCCCACAACCCGTTTATTATTATTATTATTATTATTATTATTATTATTATTATTATTATTATTATTATTATTATTATTATAAAATAGCAAACCCACCATCCATCTAAAAGCAAATTCCATTGATTTCAAAGGATAAAATAGTCAATATACCATTGATTCTAACCAGCTGATCAAAAATGCTACATCCATTAGCTATTCAATTTTTGGCTAATTGACCCAATTAGCCATTTACCAAACACTTCAAAACAGTTTATTGGTGGGTCAAACAGCCAAACTTGGTCAAATCAGCTAAAATTTGGCTGATCAGCCAATAACCAAACGCCCCCTGGTCGCAAGGAACTTAAATAATATTTTAATATTGTGGAGTGAGATATTATTTTGGTGGTGTTTGGTAAATAGTTGTTAGCTGATTGGGTTAGTGAGTTTGATTAGTTGATAACATTAGCTAATTGTAGAAAGATGTTTGGTAAATTAGTTGTTAGCTGATAGTTGGTTTCATTCAAAATGACTTTCTCAAAAAGTTGTTTGAAAAAGTTCAGACGTTATATCGTGCATTGCTGTGCATAATCGATTATGCACCGCGCGTCAAAACATCGCCGTTTTTGCAGTTATAACGGAGTGACACTACAGCGTGTCTAAACCTACACTGTCTCACGTATTATTTTTATATTATCAAATGAAACTGCAGTTATATCAAAATGATACTGTAGTTGTGGTGAAATGAAACTACAGTATATATAAAATGAAACTGAATAACATTTTACATATTTGAGTGTATATTGTACAATGAAGCTGTAATTATATTGAAATGATCATGTAGTTGTGTTTTAATGAAACTATAGTGTATATAAAATAAAATTAAATAACATTTTCACATACTTGAGTGTATAAATATTGAATGAAACTGTAGTTATATCGAAATGAAACTGTAGTTGTGTTGAACTGAAACTGCACTGTATACAAAATGAAATTGAAGAACAGAGTTATTTTTTGCGAAGATTTTGTTTCTTTTCAATAAATAAAACGATGTCGTTTTGATGCGCGGTGCATAATCGATTATGCACCGCCGTGCACGATATAATTTGCCGAAAAAGTTGCTTTGGGTAGCTTTTTAAATTTTAGGAGCAATAAGTTGTTAAAAAAACTAATTAATTAAATGTTTATATGGATTACTTAACCCAGTCAAATAGCTAATAGTGCTCAAATAAGTAAGCTAACTATGTTACAGAGCATTTAAGATGGTAAGAATTTTATTGTTTGTTGATCAAGAATGTGGATTAGTTAGTCGTTTATTGAGAAGAATTAATGATAAACTCTTGATATATTGGATTTTAATATCTGATGTTCTTATTAAAGTTTACGGGTAAAGTTTGAAGAATCAGAATATCTCCCCAAGCAGTACGTAGACTTTGGGTTTGGTGAATTAGAAGATTTTGTCAAACGGTATATCATGTTGTTAAAATGTCCATTTTGATCGAGTAACCCAGTGAGCTCGGCGTTGTTAATTTTCTTTCATTATATATATATATATATATATATATATATATATATATATATATATATATATTGGGTCAGGTTCCTGTGAGAACAGAGCTTCCCGTGCGGTTTACACCATTAGATATGCATAAATGCATCACATAGTGTTCAAAAATACACCATTATGTATGATGCATTTTTTTTTTTTTTGTGTGGTGCATTTTGTGGCATTTCATTCTGGTACACTTTTAAACATTGTGTGGTGTATTTATGCATACCTAATTCTGTAAACCGCACTGACCGCACGGGAAGCCCTATTGTCATATATATATATATATATATATATATATATATATATATATATATATATATATATATATATATAGAGAGAGAGAGAGAGAGAGAGAGAGAGAGAGAGAGAGAGAGAGAGAGAGAGAGAGTGCGGCAGTGCACTTAGGTGCAGCGGTGCGGTTAATTGTAGGCCATTAGATTAGATAAATTCAACGAATCACATTCATCCAGGCTTTTCCGATATTTTCGCGTACGTTCTTACACTACGCGAATTGCAAGGTTAAAGTCGTCATTGGGCACCTGAATAGATCAAATCATAGTGTTGTGTGTTTTATGTTCGTTATTGGTGCATTATTAACCTTACTGTGGTGTATTTGAGGATTCGTGTTGGTGCCAAGTTCAGGTGCGCCCGCGCCTTCCCATGTGGTCAGTGCGGTGCACTAATAGTTAACAAATATACACCATCCATGTTAGAAAATGCACACCAAAAAAACATGTCACAGATTAGATACGCATCACCAGAGCGCACCATTAGGTATGAATAAAAGTATCACACAGTGTTCAAAAATACATCATTGGGGTGGTGAGTTATATGGTGTATTTTTTGGGTGTGTTGTGTGTTTTTTGGTGTATTTGTGCATTTCATTGTGGTGCTTTTTCCTAACACTATTGGTGTCTTTTGTTAACACTGTTGGTGTATTTTGACAAGCGACCGATATAAATGACCACTACAATTATCATAACACCCCTCACTTATCAGGACGCGCTTAAATCTTTAAATTTTCAAAAATTAGCCGCTGCCGTTAGATTAAGCAAAATGGACGATGCTGATATAGTCGCACCGCCGCACCTAAAGCCACTGCCGCATTTGAGCGCTAATCTATATATATATATATATATATATATATATATATATATGTGTGTGTGTGTGTGTGTGTGTGTGTGTGTGCGCGCGCGCGCTCGCGAGACATATACACCACACATGCAATGTTTTTTGTTCTTTTAGTTAGCCAGCGGCATAGGCGCCCACCTAGGTCCCGCCTAGACCGTTTAGGCGTTAGGCGTTCCTTTACTGCTCGACTTGCACCTCGCGCCTACAATAACCATGATATAATGTATTAAAGATATTTTGGAAGATCTTTGGGTTCAGATAATTCGAAAATCTTTCAAAAAGTAGGTTATGTATATCTACATATATTATTGAAAGATCTTGGGAATTAGAATAAAACATTGCCTAATGACTCGTAGACTAGAAGATTTACATAAGATCATCTAGTAAGATTTACTGATGAAGATATCTTACGCCCAATGATATGATCCCACACGGACTCTTGTGTGTGTGTGTGCGCGCGCGCGTGAGACATATACACCACACACATGCAATGCTTTTTGTTTTTTTAGTTAGCCAGCCGCATAGGCGCCCGCCTAGGTCCCGCCTAGACCGTCTAGGCCTTAGGCGCTCCTTTACTTCCCGACTTGCGCCTAGCGCCTACGGCAACCATGATATCATGTATTAAAGATATCCATATATATTATCGAAAGATCTTAGTAATTAGAATAAAACTTTGCTTAACGACTCGTAGACTAGTAGATTTGCATAAGATCTTTTAGTAATATCTACTGATGAAGATATCTTACGCCCAATGATATGATCCCACATTGACTCTACAAGAGTCTTAAGTGCCGTATAATACTAGGTGCCTTTATCGGGTTGGGTATTCAACTTTTTGGAAGAAGAACAGGCAGAGCCTTCCGAATTGGGTTTAGGTAATAAATATTCGAAATTTTTCCATGTTATGTTTTGGTGAAATGGTATACATTCACACATCCATAAGAGAAAAGGCCAAATGCAAGAAGCATGTATTTCACTAATCAATTTTTGAACAAAAATAATCTTCATGGAAGTATGTAACCCCCTCAAAACCAAAAGTTCAAATAATCTTCAATTCCCTGTAGAATACATTGCACAATATACTTCAGAAAAAAAAAAAAATTATTGAAAAAATAAAAAATAAGACCAAGAATGAAGCTGTAACTCATAATTTAGGCTTCCTGCAAATGTTAAGAACCACCGGTTGATCATTCTATGGTGTTATGCCGTGAGGAGATGAACCTTTCGATCGATCATCGGAGCCTTTGGATGGATCATCCGATGATTGGCGAATCCCATCGTCAGTCTCACTTCTGTGAATCTCCTCAATCATCCTCACAACATTAGCCATTTCAGGCCTTTGGTTTGGCACAGTTGCCACACAGGCCATCCCTATCTGCAGCAGCTGCACCATCTCCTCCTCGACGTTGTGGAACCGCATCAGCTCCACGTCGAACACCTCCGCCGTCCACTCCTCCCTCACCACGCTCTGCACCCACCGAGGCAGATCGATGCCTTCCTCGCCCAATGAGGCCTGGTTTGGCGCCTTGCCCGTGAGAAGCTCCAGGATCAGTACCCCGAAGCTGTACACATCCGACTTGTATGTCGCCTTTCGGGTTTCGAGCACCTCGGGTGCACGATACCCCGCCACACGATGGTTGCCCGGAGCTGAAGCGGAGAACAGCGGGTTCAAGCCGTAGTCTGATACACAAGCGTCGTGGTTGTCTTGCTTGAGGAGTATGTTTGATGCCTTGATGTTGCCATGGACGACTTCACCCGACACATGTAAGTACGCAAGCCCTCTAGCTGCACCGATTGCTATTCTCATTCTGCTGTCCCAATCTAGTGGCGTTCGGCACGACCCTCTACTACCTACAGTTTAAGCTGATAGTCAGACCGCACATTTATTATTTAGGCCTGCATAAAAGCTGCACTAGGCCCCTCTACATCAACAGTTTAAGCTGATAGTTGAACTGCACATTTATTATTTATATATTATGCTCAACAGATACCTATACAAGGACGACCTGCATAAAAGCTGCAGTACGATAAAAACTTGGCTTGTGCCACAAAAATCGGGCAATAATGAAGTTATTCGAGGAAGATATGTATGGAATTTAGTGCAGTTTGATTAGTCTCAACCAAGACAACTAGGAAAGCATGTTGAGTACATAGTACAAGCCTACAAGTTAGCTTTAGTTGTCAAAATATGGGTGTAAGGACAGCTACAAAACCGAGCAGATTCTGAACTTCCATAACAGGAAAAAGAAAAGAGAAAGCTAATCAAAGATAGATTTACAAGCAGACAATTACAACAGTCTGGATTGCTTGCATCCAAAGTTTTTTCAAAAAAAAGGCCTAGCAGTTGGATTGCAGAACAGCAAAAAAGGCGAAAGACATGATGACACAGTGCATTTGAACTTGCCTTTAAATTAGCAATTGTGATAAAGAAGCAATGCAAAAGAGTTTCCATAAAAAGGCTGTTGATGAGTGAGGGCGAAGTCGGTAGGGGCAATCTTGGAAAGGAAGTGTTATATTTTTATAATTTTCTTCTCTCAAAAGTTGAATCCCCAACCCCAAGGGCCCCCCACACCCCGGCCTGACAAAGCATTTGGATTATGTAAATCACGGTGACTCAATGGCTCAGCAGACCGGGCCAAATGCCGGTGCGCACAAGGGATCTGCCCACTTTGAGCATAATCGCCACATTGCCGCTGCCGAGGTTCAAACCTTGGTCTCTTCTCCCAAATACTGCCTACTGATAAAGGTTGCTTAATAAAGGGTAAAATCTTGGACAAGAAAAGTGTGTCTTCCCCTAATCTTTTATTTCTTTCATCATTTGTAAAGGAGGAGAGCATGGCCCTAGTGAATCATGGCAGCCTGCTGCTTTAAACTTGTATTACAATGTTCCATATTGCAGTTTCAATAAAATACTTAAAAACACCAATCATAAGCTATTGTTACCTTTATCTATCTTGCAAATCTTACAAAATTAAATTCGCATTTTTGGTTAGTAGAATAAGACAGATCAGGCAAGGAAACTTGGCTATCTGATCTGTGCTGTTTAGTACAAAATCCTAACATTAATATTTACCTAAACAACAAATTGCCAGCACAAAAACTTTATCCAAATCCCCCAGCACAGTTAAAGAAACAAATCACTTTGTGGATATATGTTACGAGTGAAATTAAACCGAATATGCAGGCTGGCTGAATCAAACTTCAAGAGATTGCAGGAGGGGAACTATTTCAGTTTTTGGCAATAAGATAGACTAAACTATGGTAAATTGGTAACTGGTCGGAATTTGGACAATGCAGATAATGAACTCAAGAATGCAGCTATAGATCACACATTGTCACCATTCATGCACAAACAGCTAATAATCAGTAGCAAAACGCAAAATCTAGCTACTTGATATCACTTGTTAGGATCAAACGCTCACCACTATACCAAAAGTTATACTTAGTAGTGAAGGTACAACTTAGCGCCACATTTCGAAAGGCATGGTGCTGGACTTAGCCCCCTTCAGGCCTCCGCCCAACAATCCCCAACTACCATGTGTGTTGAATCATAAGTTCGGATGTAAACCTGACCTAAAACTGACCGGCTCAAACCAAGAAGGCTAATACTCTAATAGGCCACTCTCGATGGGAGTCGAACTTACAAGCTTACTGAGTCTAATCAACTTGGCTGGGGTTGCCCGTTCTAAAGTTTTAAGAAACATATATAAGACCTTAAGGCTTAATCTATGGCTTCAGGTAAATCCCAGAAAGAACATTCAACAATGCAAATGGTGATGAAAATGAGAAGAGAGTGATAGAAAGAAGCATACCATGAAGAAGAGCAGATAAGCTGCCAGCAGGCATGTAATCAAACACTAATAATTTTTCATCTCTGGAATAGTAAAAAGCTCTTAATGGAAGCACATTTTCATTCTTCAGCTTCCCCAAAACCTCCATTTGATCCTCGAACTCTTTCCGGTTCACCGTCACATCCTTCAGCCGCTTCACCACCACCGTGGTGCCCTCCTCCAACACCGCCTTGTAGCTCGTTCCGACGCTTCCTTTCCCAAGAACCTCCGCGGATGCCCTCAGCAAGTCCTCCAGGTCAAAACTGTACCCTCCGCTGGGAAAGAACACCAGCTTGTTCCGCTCCCCGCCGGCAGAGGCACCGGTCACGTCGTCCTTCGACGATGACGTCCCCGCCTCCGCCGCCGGCGGCTTCGCCGGAGCTGCGTTGGCAGTTGTTGGCGGCTTCGCTGTGTTGGGCGCTTGCCCTGTTTTCTTTGATAAACAGAGGAAGAGAATTAGTAGTAGGAGTAGAAAGCCGATGACTGAGCCGATAACGATTCCGACAATGGCGGCCGTGGAGAGTTTTTTGGACTTCTTGTGGGGAGGAGTGTTTTTGGGCTGGGGGGAAGGGGAAGGGGTAGGAGAAGAGGAATTTTGGTTGCACGGTGGCAATGGGCCGCCGCAGAGATCAATGTTTCCGGCGAAAGCAGACGCCGGAAACTTAGACAATGTACTGGGAATTTGCCCGTTGAGACGATTGTTGGAGAAATCCAAATCGGAAAGCTCAGGAAGGTTTATGGCGGGGAGTTTCCCGTTGAACCCATTGTTCTGCACGTAAAGCCGAGTCAAATTGGTGAAATTGTTGACAGTGGACGGGATTGCACCGGTGAAATTGTTGGAGGAGAGGTCTAGCCGGATCAACCGAGTTGACTCGGCGAGACTCGCCGGGAAATCACCGGAAAACCTGTTGTCCTGGAGGTAAAGACTGCGGAGGTGTACAAGGTTAGAAAAATCCGACGGGAGGGAGCCGGTGAGCCTATTCGACCGGAGACTCAGCACTCGGAGCTGACTCAGCCTGCCCAAAGTGCCCGCCGGAATGTCCCCCATCAACCCGACCGCCGGCAACCTCAGAGCAAAAACAAACGACCGGTTCGCGTCGCATTCCACGCCGACCCACGAGCACGCCGGCGCGGAGGCGTTCCATTTCAGGCGACCACTGTGCGGCGTCTTCGACAAGAAAGCAAGAAGCGCTTGCTTATCCCCCACCGGCTCCGAGCTACCCCGGTGGCAACTCAGTTGAAACGCCACAAAAACAACAAAACAAAGAACCCTAAACCCGGAATTCAAAACAGCCGCCATGATCCCAAAACCGAGAATGTGATTACTTACTGAGCGAGCGATGGTGCGAAGCCGAGGCTCCGGCGAGCTTCCATTACACAGAGGTTAGCGTCTAGAGAGAGAGAAACACAGCGTGGGTAGATATAGAGAGAGAAAGGGGGGAGTGGCGTAATGTGGGACCCGCGGGAGCGAGAGAGTGAGTAGAAGAAAGTGAAAAAGCGAAAGACTAAAGGGAGCGAAGAAACAGAGAGTTCAGTCAGTGGAACGCTTTGTTTATTTAACGTTATTCTCTTCTGACGTTTGTTCCCCACGCGTTTCTGAAAGCCGTGAATGCAACTTCCCACATTTTGGTAGAAAATTACAAAATTTATTCATTGGACTGATATGGAATTACAGATATATCCACGTAATTCCAAGTTACATCTCTACCAATAACGGTTTATTGACATTTCTCGATTTAAATTAATTACGAGTATTATTTATTTTTTTGAAAGGAATTACGAGTATTATTTATAGATAGAGTAAATACCTAAAATGGTCCCTCAACTATAGTTAAATTTATAAATTGATTCTTGACTTTCAATTTTAACCAATTAAGTCCTTAACTTTGTAATTTTAACACGATTTGGTCCTCCATCTATTTAACCGTTTGTTGACTGTGATCTCTGAGGATATATATGTAAATTTCATCGCCGCCCGCCCTCATCTGCTATCGTGACACAGTCTATCGGCCAGCCACAAGCTACTGCCCAGCCGCCCTCGTCTATTGCCATGACACACTCCACGGCCTAGCCTTCACCTATTGCCATGACACACTCCACGGCCTAGCCTTCACCTATTGCCACGACACAATCCACCGCCCAAACACCTTCGCATAATTCATCATTGCCGGCGCTACAACCCAATTTGCAATTTTCATCAGGTTCAACGCCACAAACAACCGTGTCTCGTCATAGCATGTGGAGGCCTCCAGGATGAGGCTGCACCTGTTCGGAAACACGTCGTCTTCTTCGATTTGGTACGAACTCAACTACATTGAATCCAAATGGAGGATGAAGAAAGGCGACAGGATTTGGCAGATTGCTTTCGACAGTGGATTCAAATGTAACAGTGCGGTGCAACCGGAACCTTAAAAAACCGACAATGGACCATGAAATTACATATATATCCTCAAAAATCACAGTTAACAAACGGTCAAAAAGATGGAGGACCAAATCGTGTTAAAATTGCAAAGTTAAGGACTTAATTGGTTATAATTGAAAGTCGATGACCAATTTGTGAATTTAGCTATAGTCAAGGGACCATTTTGTGTATTTACTTTTATAGATATGATCTTTTTCGCAGCTTATTTAAAAATTTATAACTTATTTTAAACTATTAATAAGTTATAAGTTTTGTTTGGTATTGTTTCAAAAATAAGTTAGTAACTTAAAATAAATGTTTATTTTAAAACACTATTAGCTCTGTTTGGCAGAACTTATTTAGGAGCTTATAGCTTATTTTAAGCTACTAATAAGCTATAAGCTCTGTTTGGTAATGTTTCCAAAATAAGCTCCTAGCTTAAAATAAGAGCTTATCTTATTTTGGAACGCTACTTTAGGGCTATGTTTGGCAAACCTAGCTAAAAAGCTACAAGCTAGGAGCTGAAAGCTGAAAAGCTACAAGCTAGGAGCTGAAAGCTGAAAAGCTATAAGCTCGGAGCTGAAAACTGAAGAGCTGTTAAGCTAATTGTTATGATTGAAAGTGTTTGGTAAAATTAGTTTTTTGATAAGCTGATAAATGTAAAAAGGCTAAAAAGGACATCTTCATAAAATTTAAATTAGTTTGTTTACATATTAAAATTTAATATTTTAAAATAAAACTATTAGAATAATCATGATCTAGCATCTCATAATGAGGTAGCAATATTGTTGCAAATCTAATAATAATAATAATAATAATAATAATAATAATAATAATAATAATAATAATAATAATAATAATAATAATAATAATAATCTCTTCAAAAATAATAATACTAATAATAATAATAATAATAATAATCTCTTCAATAATAATAATAATAATAATAATAATAATAATAATAATAATAATATTTGCCGTGAAAGTTTCGGATAAAGGAGAAGAGAAAAGGATTTTAATTGGGAAGGATAAATTATGTCATTTCTTTAAAATAATAAGGATAAAGATGGACAAAAAGTTAGGAAGCTAGGAGCTTATTTTGAAACGCTACCTAAGGTAGCGTTCCAAAATAAGCTCTTATTTTAAGCAAGAAGCTTATTTTGGGAACATTACCAAATAGAGCTTATAACTTATTAGTAGCTTAAAATAAGCTATAAGCTTCTAAATAAGCTCTGTCAAACAGAGCCTAAGTAGCGTTTCAAAATAAGCTCCTAGCTTCCTAACTTTTTTTTTTTTCATTTTTATCCTTATTATTTTAAAGAAACGACATAATTTACCATTTTCAATTAAAACCATTTTCTCTTTTCCTTTATCCGCAACTTTTACCGCGGTTATTATTATTATTATTATTATTATTATTATTATTATTATTATTATTATTATTATTATTAAAAATAAAAAGGAAGAAGCTTGCACTACTCCCCTTTTGTTTTCATTCCCACCATCCCACATCGGTGAGAAAAGTGGAATGGAGCGTTGAAGTAATGAGGCTGCTATTTAAGGAGCCTCAAGACTCCTTTCAAATTAGCATTTCGTTGCCTTGGGCAACAATGAAGAGCTCATCGATATGAAGCTTAATTTATATATATATATATATATTTTTATATTACCATGGGTGTTTTGAATTTTTTCTCAAAATGTCAATTGCAAACGTTTCAAATTACAGCATTTGCAAAAAGTAGAGGTTTGGAGCAAATTGTTGTTCCAAATTGTTGCTCTACGAAACACACATTTTGGTGGTTTGACATGGTCAAACGTCAAAAAATGACAAATTTACCAAAAATGGGTGGATATGTCATTTACCAAACATTATCAATATATTCTTTCTTATTACTTTCATATTCCTAATACAATTTTAGATTAAAATTAGTAATCGTAATAATACAGTGCATATACTTCCCATCAAGACGAAATAAATACCACAATGCAGTTTTAATTATTTATATTTTTTATCTTTTTTATTTACAAAATTATTTTAATAATGTGTGTTATATGGGGAATCTAACTGCATCACTACATAGTCGTAATTCCTACTCATAATGTTCTTACTCACTCATCCATTGTACTTCTCTCTATTGGATGTTATTTGATGGGTTAATTTGGATAATAAATAGTCTCATTTAGTTTTTTTTTTTTTGTTTTTTTTTTTGTTTTTTTATTTTTACTTTTCCAAAACATAGTCTCATTTATTTAAACAATTAATCATTGACAATACATAATTTACGCGATTATATTAATATAATTACCTAATAATTACATATTCTTTCCTACTTTCCTATTCGTACTACAATTCTACGTTAAAATTCCTTTTCGTAATACAATTCTAGAAAATCGGAGACCCTCAAATAAACAACAATATTATTCCGCTAACAACAATATAGTATACAACTATTTCAATTCATATAAAAAAATACAGTACATATACTTCCCTGCTATTCATAAACAACAATATTGTTTTTTCGAATTTGCAAATCGTAGACAATAATATTTTTCTTTCGATTCTGCAAATCGTAAACAACACTATTATTCTTTCACTAATGGGGTCTATTTTTGTCTCTACTTCCGACTTATCCCCCAAGACGAGAAAAAGTTGTATAATGCTCCGATGCTGTCTCTGCTTCCGACCTATCCCCCAAGACGAGAAAAAGTTGTATAATGCTCCGACTGATGCGTTGTTATTTGTCCAGGGAATATCAATATTCCACGGTCAACCAACAAACACTGGAGTGCTTACTCCATAACTTCCATAGATTTGATTTTGTTTACGTGGATGTTTCTAAACAACTTGATTTTGTAGTATAGTTATACGAAATTAAACATTGTTAAAAAACAAACTGCATATTTCCGATGAGATTTGAATGACATTTTTTTTAGCTATCATTGTATTGCATGTTTATATTTATTAAACTATAAATGTGTATCGATCAAAATTTTGATTATGACACAAAACATCAGAATATATTTCAGCCTAAATAATCATATTCTTATTTCCTTTCAAAAAAATCATATTCTTATTTTGTAACCATGCTGCCTATTTCATATTTTGTAATCATCCTGTTATGCATAAAAATAGAATTTTGTTATCCAATTTTATTTCTATGTTATTAGTAGAAGCTTAAGTGACTATTTTTATGTTATTACTATGTTAAAATAGAATAAAATTATGTTAACTGTTACACTAGAATTCTATCACTATATGTATTTGTTCTTTAACTAACATGTTTCTGGCATAAATGCATACTTGAGTTTTTAGTTTTATCATTTTAGATGAATATTAAAGTTCTTTAATCTTAGCTTGACTACCAAACAACTATACTTCATCTAGGTTGGAAAATTTTGAATTCTAAAATGCAAACTAAAACTTTACATGCTAAGGTTATCATCGTTAACAGTTCCCAGTGTAGCTACAATACCAAGCACATCACATGATAGTGGGTAATTATAAAAAAACAACATAGAGTTGTATATAAACTAATTAAAATTTGTCACTAGGACATCTATAGACAAAGCCGTCTCAAGAAGTTAAAATGCATCGAATTTTAAGATCTATTTTAAGTAAAATTCCCTGACAATATATAGTTACTACTCATATTTTTTAAAGGTGACAAAGTGTAACTTTATAAGGCAAAAGACATCTACTGAAACAAGGAATCAAAAAAGTCACTCTACATACATATTAAATGACTAAAGACGGGTTGGAAGAGGATGAAACACAACTACCCATCTTTTCCAATATATAGTTTTGCAGAGAACGCTTTCGATAAAAGTGCATTTGTGAAAAGGCACAAAACCGGTACACACAACCTTTGCTTACAAAAGACACATACCCGATACAAAAACACACATAAACTATAACACACCAGAAAAACATGCATTTCAAGTATAGCAAAGCAAACTAATAATCATAAATAACACTAAACACATAGTGGAAGAGTTAGTTGCAAGCCTTACATTTAGGGACAAACAACTCTCAAATAATTTAAATTTAATTCATTACTAATTCACATGCAAATTTATAACTTGGATGCAAAAATACGTACTAAATAGT